GTAAACTCTGGACACTGGTGACAGGAATGTTTACCATCAGTATGATTGTCACGTGTTTTTTGTGTTTATTTGACTTGAAGATCTTGATTCTATAAACTTGTGACATATGTGGGTTTGTAGGTGCCTTGATTATAGTTCAAACACTTTAATAATCAATGAAGTAACAAAGTGCTGATATGTTTTCTTGAGTTTTAATTATTTAAAACTTGAACTTGAAACAATAAATGTATGTACAAAGATATATAAAACAGATACAGGATTCAGTGAAAATGTTCAATAAAATGAGTAAATATTTACTTTAAAAACTTAGCGACTTCTAAGCCTAACTTTCTAGCTCTCTCCCTCGTCTCAAGCTAACACTCCGCCTTTTATATCTTTCTTTAGAATCAAGGATCTCAATACCCATCCTTGACCCGTTTACATTTAATTTTCCTTTTAATTGTTTTTGTAATTTAACCTATGTTAATTTTGTTTCCCTGCTGTAGCCTTGAACTAAGTTTTAATCGGCATCCTTTTGGCATTTAAGCGTGGGTACGCTGACCTGATTTGAGATAGGTACAATGTCCTCATTTTGTAGACAATGAGGTGTCACTAGGGACGTGACAATGATAATTTTAATTTAATTATAAACCTAAATTACATCAACTTGTGACTTGTTTAATATTTTGGCATGAAATTTATGACCTGGAATTTTAACTTTTCTTCAGGAAAACTCCTGGAATTTCATATTGACTTATATAGGTGCAGAAACCCTGAATATAATAAAATTAACATTGAAGTAAGATCACATGTAGAAAGGCCACAATTAATCTACTTTTGGTTTAGGTTGAAGATGCATTAGCTGCACATAAAGACAAAGTTGAGGTAGCCTGTGTTGTTTTTTGTAACCCCTTTGTTTATTAGCCAAAAGTTTTAAACTGACTTATTGATTTGCTTGTTTCAGATCAAAAGTTTATTTAAAGGAGAATCTAACAGAGAGATTGGTGTTATAGACAGACTGTTGGCTGGTTCAGCAGCTGGGGCTATATCTCAAACTTTAATTTACCCAATGGAGGTTAGACTGATCTTAATAAGAATAACTAATAAAGACTTATATAACTTTATTATCTTGACATTCTTTAACCTTCAGTACATGCTGACCACTTCTGCACTCTGTTGTTTACTGACTTTCTTTCTACAGTCATACCTTACACACTTAATAAGGTATTCACTCAACTAAGTACAACAGTCAACTAGCGTGCCCATACACAATCACACACAAGACACTATTAGTCACGCAAAACAAATACACTTATTATCACATTACCTTTTACAAAAAGGCTGAAAGGGTATTGGTTGGAAGAAGGGGAATTTCATGTTATTGTTTTTTTTAAACAAATTATGTGATGCTAATTAATTTTTAAAAAAAGATAATTAGACCAACTCTAAACAGTTATCATCAGATTTAAAATGCTTTTCCTTTACTGCTTACTGTCAAGTTAAAGTTTTGAGGCCCTGGTTGCGATTTTGTGTTGCCAATTTATACCTCTAATGATAAATTGTGATTTTTGTAGTCCATGTTTATAGTGGCAAGGGGAAATAAAACACAAACTTTAATTATTGCATCCAGTCCTAGATTAGTAAGCTTTTATCTTTACCAATATAAATGAATTTTAAAAACAAATTATAGTGGAAATGAATTCAAAGAATGTCACCTTCTTTAACATTTGTGATACAAAAAAACATTCATATTTCAAAGTTAGGCTTACACTGTCTAAGCTTGGGCTACATGAAGCATTGAAATGGATAGTTCACCAGAAACAATACTATGAAGAAATGTTTTTAAAAAGTTAGTTTTTTTAGCACCATCCTTAAGTTTTAAAGTTCAACAAGAATGTATTTTGTTTTTTATGACTCATTAAGTGGTCCGTTGACTTAAAACTTCAATTTTTACAAAAGTTGGCTGCTCTAAATGTTTTCTAAAATAAAGATTGGCATTTTTATAAAATAGCATTTCTAAACTAAAGTTAATTCTTGATATAGAATATAATGATATGATTTCAGGCCAGACTATAGAGAAAAAAAATCTGTAATTACATACCTTTTATACATTATTATTTTAGTTACTTGCTTTTCTAATACTAATGAATTTTTCAAATATTTCTGTTTAGGTATTAAAAACAAGGTTAGCATTGAGGAAGACTGGCCAGTACAGTGGGATATTTGACTGTGCAAGGAAAGTTGCCAAGCATGAAGGCTTTGGAAGCTTTTATAGAGGCTATATCCCCAACTTGCTAGGAATTATCCCATATGCTGGAATAGATCTGGCAGTTTATGAGGTAAATAAACACTTTCCAAAAACTGGATTAGTAATCTTTCTGCTGTCTTGAAGATTTCCACTATTTATGTCTACTCTCTCTGTTATATTTTTAGATTTTATAATTAGCTTTACTATGAAATGTTCTTAATAAAGGCCTAAGTATCACATTATGCAACCTGTAAAACTTAAACACTGTGACAAAAGAAAGTCATTCTTTATAAATATACTCATTCCATTTATGACGTAAAATTGTATCGATTAAGTTAAAGACTAAGCAAGTTTCCTAATTTATTGTCAAATAGTTGAAATTTGAAGACTATTATATGAATCCAAATGTCTAGTAGAGGAATTTAAATAAAACATTTGTACTACTTTCACATGTTTACACATTGTGCTAGTCTGGAACTAATTAATAGTACTAAAAACCTTTTGAAATAGCGGTACTACTAGAACTTCCATCATGTTAAAGCTTCTATTGACAATAATGTCTGAAATTCTCTACCAAATTAAGGAAGCAGGTTTTTTTAGTCCAGTCTTAGAATTAAATCTCTAAAATCTGTTTGGACACAGGAAATGGTTTGCATCCCTTTCATGAGTTGAAACCATCTCTTATATACGAGTCTGGACCAGGGCATTTAGGATAATGGGAGAGAAGCTTGAAACATAAACATTCAAGAAATCTGATTCTTTAGACTTTGGGTACTTAACACTGAGATTTAGACTGAAAAAGAAACACAAAATTGACTTTGCTTTAGTATGACTTAATCATCTCAAATATCTTTATGAATTACTGCAAGTATTATAGAGTCTTGATATACTTGCAGTAGTTTCTTCTATATTCTCTATTGAATCTTTTTCAAGCTTTGGTTTTGTTTTCTTTGTTTTTAGGCATTTTATAGAATATCATTATATTTTCTTTTTGTTACCGTATTGGTTTCTCTACACACACAAGCCGTGTTATTGCTGTGCTTGTATGGCTAATCATGCATGGTTTGTAGTTAAGATAGTGGTCATGTTATGTGTGTGTTTTTATATTGATGGTGGGTTAGTGATTGGTTGTGAATGATGCAACATAGGTGGCATTGTCATCATTTGGTCTTAGTTAGGACAGAAGACTCCAGAATGCCAGACTGAAAGGTTGTGGTATTGTAGTGAGATTTTGTAAAAAAAAAAATATTACTACTAAAGTCTAGTACATTTATTTAATCCTATTTATTAACTTGATTTTGTCTATATCATTAATAAAGTTATATTTAGTATTGTTCACAAGGAAGTTATTCAAATTAGTTGAAATTTTATTAGTTAAGATATTATGCCTACAAAGGTTTAGTTGTAAACCAGCAGTTTGGTGGTTAAAGTCAATGATTGGTAACAACAGTCATTCTATTCAAGAAAGTAAAATATAAATTATACAAAATTACAAACAAGTCTTTTAGCAATTAATTTGATCTTTATTGGAAAGATCTAAGTTTACAATCTATAACAATCCAGTATAGATCTTGAAAGGTTTTGTCAAAATTTTCTAAGTCTGAACTATGGCTCCATATAAATTATCCAATTTGACTATATTTGTGTTAGGCCAAACAGAAATACAACCATTTAGTTTCTAAAGGTGATTACTATAAGTATATAAACAGTATTCACACATAATCTAACCAATCTTGAAATTATGGTTTTAAAATGTGTTTGATACTTAGTGTCTAAAACTATTAGTTACTGTATCATTATTTATTGGCAATGTCTCAGAAAATGTGGGGATCATTTCTTAGACTGTTAAGGAACAAAATGTTTTGTCTCTTAATCTTGAAGAACTCTGTTGTGCTTTCAGACATTAAAAAAGTTGTACATGTCCAAGAACAAAGGTCAAGATCCTGGTATATTAGCTTTGTTAGCTTGTGGCACCATCAGTAGTACATGTGGTCAACTGGCAAGTTATCCTCTTGCTTTAGTCAGGACAAGATTGCAAGCACAAGGTAAGTCCAGACATTGTATGTAGATGGACCATCTCTTGTTTTACTACATTTAATTATTTTGCTATGAACTTGTTAAAACTTGAAGGCTTTGTTGTAGAATCAAAGTTATTTCGATCACATCTGAATTGACTAGAAAAGCTGTTGTGTGTGTGACTTTAAGACCTTTACAGTGTTTGAAGCACAGTGTACTCATTTTAAAATGTTTGTATTCAACTTTTTGAAACAAAAGAAAAGTAGGATAACATCTGTACTTAATAATTTAAAGCATACATTGATCTTCAATATTAAAAACATTTAAAAATCCAATGTAGATTTCCATTGTTAGTAGAAGTTTTCATTACTGGAAATTTCAATGTTTCACACAAGAATATCTTTTTTCTAGGATCATCTCAATCTCTGTTTAAGATTAAAGCAACTGCTAACTGGATATATACATTATTACTGCTTTAGTATAGATTGTATAGAATTTCTATATACTTATATAAGATGTCTTAATTATTGAATGTTTTTTTTATTTCTGTGTAGCTCAATCAGGCTCTTCTAAGAAAGACACAATGACAGGACAGATCAAGTATATATTAAAGCATGATGGTCCCAAGGGCCTGTATCGTGGCATTGCTCCAAACTTTCTGAAGGTGGCCCCAGCAGTCAGTATAAGTTATGTTGTCTATGAACAAGTGCGTAGTCTGATGGGCATTAAGAATTCATAATTGTCCAGTGTATCTGACCTTTTTTTTTTTTTTTTTTATTCTTGGTGTACCATATATTTAACCCTATTTGTATACTTCAACCTTGTAGAGATCTTTAGTCCAACTGCACTCTTAAACTATTCTGTGGCCATATTGCTGGCATTGTATTTAATGATCTCATTCTAAGGTCCAATGACATGTTGACATGGTGGATAAATACATTTCGCATGGGGCTGTTTGCCCTACTTTCTGTTTATCTGCCTGGGAGTGACATGTGGGCTACAACAAATGCTTTTAACTAGATGACTTCACAGCAACTTTGAATATGTTTTCAACCTAAAATGGGTTTGCTTTATCCAATGTGAGCTTTTTTTTTTTTCCTAGTAAATTGATAAAGATTATAATGTAATAAATCTATTATCATTAGTTTCGTATAAAACATTTATGCATACAAAAATGTTAATGTTTTTATATTACTTTGTTACAGAGACCATTAAGGAACCCTGTAAATGAGAGATTTATAATGATAGATTATAAATAATGATAAGATTATAAATAATGATGATTTGAATGAAGTCTTGTTGAAGACATTGAACTAAGTTTCTTGCTTTGTACCTGCTAAATGTTGTTACCTATTGTCTGATTGATTTGTTGAGATTCACATGATCTTACCTGACTTAACTAACATCTTTCATATTTGGTTGTGTATTATCTCAATACAAGTTTGTGGTTTTGTACTACTGGGCTGATAAAAATATCTAGACATTGAAAATGTCTGATAGAACTAAATGTGGTTGTTATATATTTAAAAAAAAAAAAAATTATAAAAATCTTCATTGGTATTTGCTGAACCCACTTGTTAGCTCATTTCTTTCTACTAGCAGTCTCTAAGTGAACACCATGAAATCTCAGGGCCTTGTGCTCCACTCGATGAAGTCTTGAGAACCATGTAGTTCATTCAATATTTGTATGTCATCTAGATTTAATCTATTAATTGTAAGGCTCTTGTTAATCTTTTATCTAAAGACTAAATGATGAGCCTGCTCTGTCAACTGGCTGGTTTAGTCTTTCTCCATACCGTGATATATGTGTGTGTTTATATAGGCCTACATTACATACAGGTTCTAAGGATCCCATTTCAGACCTGAAGGTTTGCAATGTGTATGTTGTATAAAGTCTCTGATAAAAATTTTTGACTGGAAATTACATTGTTTTTATTATGTTTCATCGAAATTTAACTACTTTTATGATCTGTTTAAAACTGTTTAATTTAACCTGACGTAATTACATATGAGGTCAATTTTGTGTACATCTTTACTTGATTTAATTGATGACTACCAAATGTATTTCACTTTGTCTACATTAAAAGATATCTGTAAACACTGACCTTTAATTTTATTTGTCACATTTTTAAAATTTTTTTTTTGGCAAACAAATGTTCAACTTTAAAAGTTGCATAAAATCAATAACTAAATATTACAAACCCCCTGTTCTGACTAAAACTATATTTTTCATGAGTAGGTATATTTGGGTCTTTGCCATATAAAAACTAAATATACAATACTATCCTGTGACTTAACTAGTTTAGGTTCAAAATAAGAGCTTTTTTTTTTTAAGGTTTTGCTTTACAACAATCTTTCTGAGGGACTCTTAAACAAGATAGATGTTGATACTCTCTTGTTGGTTTGTAGCTCCAAACAGCGTATATATGGCGTAACAAAGAGGGTTACATACCCATACTGAGAAATTATTTAATAAAAAAAAAAGAAACTAGTGTACCAGTAGGTCTATTATGTTCTCCATGTGGAGCTACAATCAACCCCAAAAAAAAAATTTTTTTAATAAAACTGAATGTAACTAATTTAAAGAAGAAAAGCTTTCAGCTTCAATATGATGTGTCTAGAAACAAGGAAAAAGTGATACTTAAAATGAAGCTTATATAATTCACTATAAATAAGTGTCTCTCTTGTTCTCCCCTTTACCAGCATTTAAGAGCTTCATTTCATCAGAATCTATTGAGCCTTCACAACCAAACCATTTGCCCAACTTTTTCTCCAGAAACGCGCACACAAATCTCCATACCACTGGAACAAGTTCTATGCATTTGTTTATACCTGATACCGGTATTTTAAACATACGACTTGATCATAAGTGAATATGACGTGACACTTTTTGTATGTTAGTAAAACGAGCTACTGTCTGACCGAAACAATTTGACCAAACAGTCATTTATTTCTTGCCAATATTTCTGAGTCACACACAATACTATTTTTTTTTACCTTTACCTATCCCTTAGTCTGTTAGACCGTAGGGGCACCATGCAAGATTCATCGACCGTCTTTCTCCATTCCTCTCTGTCTTTTACCTTAGTTAGAACCTCTTTCAGTGGAGGCTGTCTATTCATTTCTGTTGTCCTCAAATAACTTTTTCTGTCTGCCTCTTCTTTTTTTTTCCTGTTACTGTTCCCCAAAGAAAGGTCTTTGCGAGCCCAGAGGATCTTGTAATATGGCCATAGATTTAAAGCTTGCATTTTTTTATGATAGTTTTTACTATATTTCCTGTTTAATACTTACAATGTTTAACTTTCTTATATCATCAAATAGTCAACATTTTACTCAACTAGTCAGATCTTTTGGGATTAAATGTCTGCCTGTAAAAGTTAATATAAAACTAGGAAATGCTTGCAATACATTGGTTATCTCAAAATTGAGAGGAAAAACCTGAGATCTAGCATCTCAAATTCCCAAAACTTTAAAAATAATTTTAACTATCTTCTTGCTTCAAATTGCTTAAAAATATATATAGGCCTACATAATTTTTTTTCTTATGGGAAAATTGTTTTGATTATCATTTATTATGATTATTCAGCGGTGGCTGAGTTGTAAATCATTTGGCTTCCGAACCACGGACTGGGGTTCGAAAGCTGGATAAGACTTTAATTTTTGGATCCTCTGGCGCCTCAAAGTCCACCCAGCTCTAATGGGTAGCTGACATTAGTTGGGAAAAAGTAAAGGCGGTTGGTCGTTGTGCTGGCCACATGACACCTTTGTTAACCGTAGGCCACAGAAACAGAAAATCTTTACATCTTTACTGCGCTATAGACCACAAGGTCTGAAAGGGGAACATAACTTTTTTAACTTCATAGTTGTGAAATACAGTCCACCTATTCTTGGCAAGAAATTACCTCTAGAAAACATCAAAATTCAATACCTTCAACCTCTGAGGTTTACAGTTTTAGTTATTGATATGCGAATCCCTGTATCATTTTTCTGTCTCTGATGGGTTCAATATTTATTTAGTATATCTTTGTTTTTAAATTAAAGTTTTAGTATTATAATTTTGTAAAGTAAGGATTTGATTCAATGGAGGCGTTACATGGCAAAGAATTTTTTTTTTTTTTTTTTTTACTTTTCCTTTGTTGAGATTTATAATCAAGGTTAGAGAGGCTAGTGAAGCTTTATTTGTACTGGGACTATTTTTAAAAAAAATTCTTACAGATACTATATTTTATCTTTTCAGTCTGTGGTGATTCTAACTGAACTCCGGGACCTCTTGGTGTCAACTGGTGAAGATTAGTTGTCCCGGGGTTTCATTGGGGGAATAATTATCGCCAGACCAGACATGCTTGTATTCATAATCTACTTATATCTAGTCCTCTGAATTCCCCATGAGCTCACTGCAATGCTGTTTCAACTGTTTGGCTTTAATTTTGGTTTGATGATAGGAAGTCGGTGCAGTTCTGCCTATTTGTGGAGTTTTCTCCGATGGTCTTATCCGCAACATGAGGATAACTGAGTGATGTCCAGGAACGTTGTTGATTAGCCCAGATTTAAGTATATAGTGTTGGTCATAAAAACATCAGAACAATAGGAATTCAAGCTGATCTGTCAGCTGGTAAACGCACCAACAAGTCATTAACTATGAAAAATGTTGGATCTTCGCTCTTTGTAATGAACATTAAAAACTGGTGTTGTTTTGACCACTCGCTTATGCTCCTATATCTATGACTTTATAATTGAATTCCAGCGGGTATATTTTAAAGAACAGTGTAAATGATCATGAACTGTAACTTCTCAAAAACCTTGACTGCTCAACAGTAATATATAGTCTGGACCTGGATGCGTTAGCCTGCTTGTCTTTGTGTGTTATTGTAAGTGAAAGTATAATCTGAATAAACCACATTAAAAAAAAGGTCATTTAAAAAAGCAATAGGAACAAGCAAAATAAAAAAAAAAAAAAAATTACTTAAAAAAACATACGAAATTCAATACACAGTGTTGTATAGCACACATCTGACCCAGCATTAGACAATGACTCTTCCAGTCGTCCAGACATTCATGGTAATGTAAACAATGTATTCATGAAAACTAAGCTTGTGATTACAGTGGACTTTCTACTGAGTAGATATACATTCATGTCTTAACAAAGGTGCCTGTGAAGTTGATGTCAAACATTCAGTCAGGACTATTGCGCTGTGGGAAGTTTTCATGTTCCTACACTTGTGACAGACAGACAGACAATGCGCATTTAGAATGTGGCTCGGAACGAGACCATTCGTCACAGAAGACCTCAACATTGACCTTCAATGTCACAACCTGTGGGCAGTTTTGACCAATAGCTCGTAGCCACGCCGTACAGACCTCTGACATGGCAACGATCTATTTGTCGAAACTGCCAGCAGTTTTTAACTATTGGTCTCGCTCGGAATCCTCGCAAGTTACATGGTTGACCTATGAAGTTTGAGGACCTCGTTCTCGTTTACCCTATTAGGGACATGCGCACTTTGTGTGCAACGGAGAGTGGAGGAGTTTGAAGATTTATTACAAGGGAGGGAGGGAGGAGTTTAAAGATTGTTACTAGGGAGGGAGGAGTGGTTTGAAGATTGTAACAAGGGAGGGAGGAGGTGTTTGAAGATTTGTTACATGGGAGGAAGGGAGGAGTTTGAAGATTTGTTACTAGGATGGGAGTAGCTTGAAGATTGTAACAAGGGAGGGAGGAGGAGTTTGAAGATTTATTACAAGGGAGGTCGGAGGAGTTTGAAGATTTGTTATAAGGGAGGTCGGAGGAGTTTGAAGATTAGTTACAAGGGAGGGAGGAGGAGTTTGAAGATTTGTTACAAGGGAGGGAGGAGGAGTTTGAAGATTTGTTTTAAGGGAGGTCGGAGGAGTTTGAAGATTAGTTACAAGGGAGGGAGGAGGAGTTTGAAGATTTGTTAGAAGGGAGGAGTTTGAAGATTTGTTACTAGGGAGGGAGGAAGTAGTTTGAAGATTTGTTAGAAGGGAGGAGTTTGAAGATTTGTTACTAGGGAGGGAGGGAGTAGTTTGAAGATTTGTTACTAGGGAAGGAGGAGGAGTTTGAAGATTTGTTATAAGGGAGGGAGGAGGAGTTTGAAGATTTGTTATAAGGGAGGTCGGAGGAGTTTGAAGATTAGTTACAAGGGAGGGAGGAGGAGTTTGAAGATTTGTTAGAAGGGAGGAGTTTGAAGATTTGTTACTAGGGAGGAAGGGAGTATAGTTTGAAGATTTGTTACTAGGGAAGGAGGAGGAGTTTGAAGATTTGTTGAAAGGGAGGGAGGGAGGAGTTTGAATATTTGTTGAAAGGGAGGGAGGGAGTAGTTTGAAGATTTATTACAAGGGAGGGAGGAGGAGTTTGAAGATTTGTTAAAAGGGATTAAGAAGTTTCAGATTTGCTACAAGGGAGGGAGGAGTTTGAAGATTTGTTACTAGGGAGGGAGGGAGTAGTTTGAAGATTTACTACAAGGGAGGGAGGGAGTAGTTTGAAGATTGTAACAAGGAAGGGAGGAGGAGTTTGAAGATTTGTTACAAGGGAAGTTGGAGGAGTTTGAAGATTTGTTAAAAGGGATTAAGAAGTTTCAGATTTGCTACAAGGGAGGGAGGAGTTTGAAGATTTGTTACTAGGGAGGGAGGGAGTAGTTTGAAGATTTACTACAAGGGAGGGAGGGAGTAGTTTGAAGATTGTAACAAGGAAGGGAGGAGGAGTTTGAAGATTTGTTACAAGGGAAGTTGGAGGAGTTTGAAGATTTGTTAAAAGGGATTGAGGAGTTTCAGATTTGCTACAAGGGAGGGGGGAGGAGGAGTGAAGATTTGCTACAAGGGAGGGAGTAGTTTGAAGATTTGTTACAAGGGAGGGAGGGAGTAGTTTGAAGATTGTAACAAGGAAGGGAGGAGGAGTTTTAAGATTTGTTACAAGTAGGTGGGAGGAGTTTGAAGATTTGTTAAAAGGGAGGGAGGAGTTTGAAGATTTGTTAAAAGGGATTGAGGAGTTTGAAGGTTTCTTACAAGGGATTGAGGAGTATGAAGCTTTGTAACTTAACAAAACAAAACAAAATATTTAAATGAAATAACTGGCCCTTTGTCTTTCGCGGGT